AGTGTGGTACATTTATTATAATTATTGAACCGGTGTTGATATACTACTATCATAGTCCATACTTTACATTAAGATTCACTTGCTGTGTTGTAGTTTTATGGGCTTTGACAGATACATAGTGACATGTATCTACCATTACAATTTCACATGGAATAGTTTCACCACCCTAAAAACTCCCTGTGCTTTACCTGTTCCTCACTCTCTGCTCCAGCCCCTGGAAACCATTGTTCTTTTTTCTCTCTAGAGTTTTATCTTGACGTTGATCCCTGTATTATTAGTTTATCTTTTCCAGAATGTCATGTAGTTGGAATCATATGGTATTAGACTGGCTTCTTTCACTTAGCAGTATACATTTAAGGTTCATATCTTTTCATGGCTTGACGGCTCATTTTTTTATCACTAAATGATATTCCATTGTATGAATGTACCATAATTTGTTTATTATTATCTGTTGAAGGACATCTAAATTGCTTCTAGTTTGGGCAATTATGAATAAAACCTGCTGTAAACATTCTTGTACAGATTTTTGTGTGGATTAAGTTTTTAACTCAATTGAGTAAATGTCAAAAGTGGGGATTGCTGGATCATATGGAAAGACTATGTTTAGCTTTGTAAGAAACTACTAAACTGTCAGTATATGTGTTCTTGAGAATCAACCTAATTAAAAGTCATGAAGGATATACGCTAAACTGTTAACAGTAGTTACCTCAGGGGGATGAAATGGGGAGGAGAGGGACTGCCATTTTATAATTGACTTTTTTAAAACAAAATATTACTTTGTAGTACTTTTTTACAAATAAAATTTTTCTCCAAAATACTTCATTTAATGCATCATAATAAAAATTGAAAATGAATCAACATAAATAAAAGATCATTTAAAGCAGTATATTGTCAGTTTTGTAGCGCTGTCTAGGTGTGGAGGATTTTAATATTTTATCCTTATTTTTTAAGTAAAGAGAGTAATAATCTTCCTACAGTCTTAATTGTCCATTCAACAACTTTTTAGAGCATCTGCCTATGGCACAGTTCTTTATAGCGTCATGCCCAGAGCTAAGAAGAGAGCATACTTCATCCAGCCTTGGGATATCAGGCAAGACTTCCTGGAGGAGGTGATACCTAAATTGCTTCATGAAGGAGAAATCTAAATGAACTAGGCTAATGTGGAGAAGGGCAGGGGAAAGAGAATGTACCAGAATGAGGACAGTGTTTTTAAGTAAGAGACCAAGTCCTTTGCTTCTGGTTAATCTGATTAAAATCAGAATTAATTGTTTCACACTCACAGAGAAGCATATTAGATCTTTTCATGCTGTTGGCACTCGTTTGAGAGTCTGTAATTGTGAAGTATGGGCTCATATTTTCTTTTGGTTTCTAGTGACTGGCAGAGTGCATTGCCCTAATGCCTGTTTTGCTTGGAAAACTGGAGTAATGAATACCCTGACAATATTTTGTTGCTGGAGATATGTCAGCATCTATCACTGTCACATGAGTTAAACATTTCATTCCTTACTTGAATTTTAGAACTTTGAATGGTTCAACTGTCATTTTTTGTGAGTGTACATATATGTTACTTTCTTGTGCCATCTATGTCTCTTACACTTAAATCTTTCTTTCCACTGTGTAAACTTTCACCATATGTCCATAGATTTTTTCTGTTTTCTATAAGATTCCAGTGAAATTTAAAAAATTATCACTTAGATATGGAAAGAGGGAAAACCAGGAAATGTATCAACATGCAGGGATGAAAGTGGATTATGTTTGCCAGATTATAATGCAGTAGCCTTACAAGAAGAATTAGTTGAGTCTTGTCAGTTGATATTTTTCCCAATCCTCTAAGATGGATTTTAAACATTTTGGAAGGCTTTTTCCAGATTATTTAAAATAATTAATAATATTTTTCCTTGGGTCAAATTCAAGTCTCAAATTATTTAAGACTTTCAGATATGTAAGAATTCACAACTCTTATATTAGAAACCATTATAGGAAATAATTTAATGTAAAATATGATTCACTTATTTTCATTTATTTTCAACAAAAGTCACCCCTGAAGTCTATTAAATATTATGAAATTAATACTTTCCTCTCGTACCTGTTGGATTTAAAAAGTTCTCATCTGTTGAAAGAAGCAGTGAAACCTTGACATCACAATATAGTTACTAGGTTCTAACTCCTTCTCTTGCCCCTGGCCAGCAGGCATAGCCTTGGGCAATTCCCCAACTCTACTGAGCTGTGTCTTTAATAGAATTAATTAATGAATATGAGAGTTCCTCCAAAGTATAATTACAAATTACAAATATAATGCATCATTATCATGGAATTTGTCTTCTAATACACATTTAAAACCCACTGAACAAGATTCCCAAGAGGTCAATTACTACTACTTATTTTATAACTTCTGGCCATGTTTTCTGTACTGGAATCTTGCTGGCATGTGAAAAGTTGAGCAGTGGACAGCCTAAATCTATATGCACATAATTTTCTATAACCCATGGGAGGACTGAAATGCTGAAAGATCTTAGGAACTGGGACAAGACCTGACACTAACAGACAATTCTTTTGTTCAAGGGCAAGAAAGAGGAGAGGGTAGTTACGGTTTGAAGCTTTTGGCTGACCTGTTCCCATTTCTCCAAATGCGTTTGCGTTTGGGGGAGAGGTAAATTATATGGGGGGAGTTAAAATGTCTGTTCACTCTTTGCCAAACCCCTCCTTACACTATTTACCATGAGAGATGAGGAAAATAGGAACTTCTTGTCACAAAATATTTGAGACTTTTGCTGTAGAAAATCCTTTTTTACTTCTTCCTTTCTGTTTGTGATTTTCCTTCTGTACCCCTCTCCCCCATTCTATTATTTTTCTCATCTTCTATATGTCATATCTAAAAGTATTCCTTTGAAGGCTATATTCCCTACATTCTTCTTTTCCTTTCCCTTTTTTCCTTTTTCCTCTTTCCTCTTATAATGTGACTTATTTAATCCAGCAAATTGGTATAATTTTACATTCCTGTTTTATGATATGCCCCTTCCTTATTTTTAATGCTAAGTATGAAAATGTACATATGAATTCTAACATAGTAAGTGAAAGGTGTCATAAATTATTAAAGTGCATTTCCACAAATGGTATGCCACAGGGTGTAGTGAAAATGAGCACTCATATTCACGGTGACAACATAATGGTACAATGCTTTTGGACTATTTTGACAGTATGCGTTGATAGCCTTAAATGGCCTTTTTTTTTTTTTTTAACATGTATTTATTTTTGAGAGAGAGAGAGAGAGAGAGAGCACAAGTGGGGGAGGGGCAGAGAGAGAATGAGACACAGAATCTGAAGCAGGCTCCAGGCTCTGAGCTGTCAGCATAGAGCCCAACACGGGGCTCAAACCCACAGACCACAAGATCATGACCTGAGCCAAAGTCGGACGCCCAACTGACTGAACCACCCCAGAGCCCCTGGCCTTAAATGCTTATGTTCATACCCTTAGACCTAGTTAATTTCCAGCCCTAGAATCCATTTGAAAAAAATAACCTTAAATAATGAAAAGACTACGTGTGGCGTTCTTAATGTCTAGCAATAAGGGAGAATGATTATATAGACTATTATGTGGCCGTTTAAAGTAATGTATAGCATGGAGAAAGATATTTTAAAGACAGAATACAAATTTGTACCTACAGTAGAACTTGACAGATACAGATTTCACATCCAAGGTTTGTGAGAGTATAAATTCATATATTATAAAAACAATATATGGCAATATATTCATTTAAAATCCACATACCTTTTGAGAAGCCTGCGTGGCTCAGTCGGTTAAGCATCCGACTTCGGCTCAGGTCATGATCTCACGGTTCGTTGGTTCAAGCCCTGCATCGGGCTCTGTGTTGACAGCATGGAGCCTGGAGCCTGCTTCAGATTCTGTGTCTCCCTCTCTCTCTCTCTCTCTCTCTCAAAAGTAAATAAATGTTAAAATCCACATACCTTTGACCGAACAGTTACACTTGTAAGTTGCCTCAATGATAAATTCTGATATGTGCCAAAATATTTGCACACTAATCATTGCAGCACTACTTATAATAAGTCTGGCATGACATTTTGTTAAGTAGTGAATAGTTTCTTTTCTAGCAATTTATCTAAAGGAAATAAGGCTGTGGATAGATACAAAGCTAAGATATATTAATCTCTCTAGTTGTAACTACAGAATAATATTAAAATTCTCCATGTTCAGATGGAGATTACTGAAATACAGTCTTTATCCCGTCAGTAGATAATTATGCAGCATTACAAATCACATTGTAGAAAACTGTGATGGCATCATCTTCTACAGCACATACACATGCATCTACACGGGGCAAAAAAGGAAGCACACTATCTATATGTTAACTTTTTTCTCCTAGGTAGTAAGATATGGATGACTTGCTTTTCTAGATTTTCCCATAATGATCTATTATTATACTTACAGAATATATAAAAACAATGAGTATTTTTTAATTAACAAAAATATTATTTCTAGTATAAAGAAAAGACAGTAGCCATTTTGGGGGCACCTGAGTGGCTCATTTGGTTAAGCATCCAACTCTTGGTTTCCGCTCAGGTCATGATCTCAGTTGGTGACTTTGCTGCACATCAGACTCCACACTGAGAGCATGGAACCTACTTTGGATGGTCTCTCTCCCTTTCTCTCTGCCCCTCCCCAGCTCATGCGTGCACATCCTTTTTTTCTCTCTCAAAATAAATAAATAAAACTTTAAAAAAAGAAAGAAAAGACAATAGCCATTTTTGAGTGGTGGGACTAAAGGTCACTAACTGTGTGTGTGTGTGTGTGTGTGTGTGTGTGTGTGTGTATCTTTTCTATATTTTTCTTTGATGAAAAAATGAATATACTCATTTTATTGGAAATAAAGATTTTGTTTTTTAGTTCTGTTAAAAGCATGGTTGTTAAGCAATTAGTGAACATAGTGTCACATACTTTTATATAATTAACAAACTTAAAAACATTTTTATTTTCATTTTAGGCTAGAAATATTCATACAGGAGAGTTGGCTGCAGTAAAAATTATCAAATTGGAGCCTGGTATGTATTAAAACTCTTAAGACAATTTTTGAACACTTTTCTAGTGTAGTTTATAAATAAATATAAAAAACATTTTTTATATTTTTTTCCTTATTTCCCTTCTTCCAAGAATGAAATCTTTATGTTGTCAGGGCAGCAGAATATCTCCAATATGGTTACATTAAATCTCATTGGAGGTTGTTAGTTAAAGATGAGTTTGATGTGAAGTTTGTTGTGAAATAAAATTTGAAACGTGTACATTCAAAAATTGGAAGACATATTGACATTGTTAAAGTAATTTTTTAAGGTTGTGAAATATTTGAACTTCAGTTTTAGCTCTTATGAGAGTTTAATTAAGAAAGTATTCATTGATGGGGTGAGATATTTGACAATATATAGGATAATGGTATTTTATATGTCAGCTACACCTTGGCTGGTTGATTTAGGTTTAATAATTCTGGTGTTAGCCTAATGCTTTTCTTTTTTCTTTCTTTTTTTTTTTTTTCCCCAACACTTCTGTGTATCAGAAGGCTGTTTGCTTTAAAACATACTGAATAGGGATGCTTGGCTGGCTTAGTTGGTAGAGTAGATGACCCTTGATCTCGGAGTTGTCAGTTCAAGCCCCACATTGGGTGTAGAGATTAACTTTAAAAAATTTAAAAATAAAAAAACAGACTTATTTGCTTTGAAAACAAAACTTTGTAAAACATGAAATAATTTTGTTATTTTGATAACCTAAGAGTTTCTAATGAGAGAAATAGTAGTTTTTTTTTTAAGTTCATTTATTTATTTTGAGGGAGACAGAGACAGTGTGAGCAGAATAAGAGCAGAGAGGGAGGGAGAGAGAGAATCCCAACCAGCTCTGCAGTGACAGTCTGACATGGGGCTTGAACTCACGAAACCCTGAGATCATGATCTCAGCTAAAACTGAGAGTCAGACGCTTAACTGGCTGAGCCACCCAGGCACCCCTCCAGTTTTTTTATTGTGGTAAAATACACATAACAGAAAATTTATCATCAAAACCATTTTTAAGTGCACTGAAATGTACAGTGTTATAAAATATGACATTCATGATGTTGTGTTACCATCACCACCATCCATCTTCAGGACTCTTTTCATCTTGTAAAACTTAAACTTTATACCCATTATATAATAACTTCCCATTTCCCTCCTCCTCCTGGCCTCTGGCAACCACCATTTTACTTTATGTCTTGGTGATTTACCTACTCCGCATGCTTCACGTAAATGGAATCATACAGTATTGGAGTGTTTGTGACTGGCCTATTTCACTTACTATAGTGTCAAGGCTCAGGACTAATCCAGTTGTCACATATGTCTGAATTTCCTTCCTTTTCAGGACTAAACATTTCCATTGAATGTATATACCACATTTTATTTATCCAATCATCTATTGATGGATACTTGGGTTGTTTCCACATTTTAGCTGTTGTGAGTAATGCTCCTGTATGAGCACGAGCATATAAATATTTCTTCCATACATGTTTTTTTTCTTTTGAGTGTATACCCAGAAGTGGAATTGCTTGATCATATGGTAATTCTATTTTTAATTTTTTGAGGGACCACCGTGTTGTTTTCTGCAGTGGCTGTTCAATTTTGCATTCCTGTCAACAATGTTCAAGTGTTCCAATTTCTCTACATCCTTACCAACACTTGTTATTTTTATGTTTTGTTTTGTTTGTTATAGCAGTCATCCAAATGGGTATGGGGGCACCTCATTGTAGCTTTTGTTTGCATTTCTGTAGTGATTGGTGATGCTGAGCATCTTTTCATTTGCTTATTTGTATATCGTTTTTGGAGAAATGTCTATTTAAGTCCTTGCCCATGTTTGAATTGGGTTGTCTCTTTGTTGTTGAGTTTTTGGAGTTCTTTGTGTAATCTGGATATTAACCCCATATCAGGTAAATGATATGAAAATATTTTCTCCCATTCTGTGGGTTGCCTTTTCACTGTGTTGATCATGTCTTTTGGTACATAAAATTTAAAAATTTTTGTTAAGTCCAGTTTGTCTATTTTTTCTTTTGTCGTCTGTGCCTTTGGTCATGCCCAAATAATCATTGCCAAATCTAGTGTGAGTAAGCTTTGCTTTATGTTTTATTCTAAGAGCTTTATAGTTTTAAGTCTTACTAAGTCTTTGATCATTTTGTGTTAATTTTGGTATTTGGTATTGGGTGAGGGTTCAGCTTTGGTTTTTTTGCTTGTGGATATCCATTTTCCCGGCACCATTTGTTGACAAGATTGCCCTTTCCCCATTGAATGGTCTTAGCAACCTTGTAAAAAATCTTTTTGGTTGAAGGTCAAAAAATCTTTGATCATATATGCAAGGGCTTACTTCTGGATTCTCCATTCTATTCTGTTGGTCCATATGTCTGTCTTTATGCCAGTATCACAGTATTTTGAGTACCGTAGCTTTGTAGTAAGTTTTGAAATCAGGAAGTGTGAATCATCCAATTTTGATCTTTTTCAAGGTTGTTTTGGCTATCTGGGGTCCCTTGAGATTTCATATAAATTTTAGGATAGGTTTTTCTAATTCTACAAAAAATGTCTTTGGGATGAAGAGTAGTAATTTTTGAGCGGGTAGGTGAATATTTGGTGATCTGTTCATTTGCTGCTTCATAAACTTAAACATGTAGAATAATTGTGTGACTGTAATTACATCAGTTTCTTAATTTGAGCATATAAAATGTTTCTGCATTTCAAATACAATATTTTGATCATTAAGTGTATGATTCATAAGAGAGATATTACTGAGGGTAGCATATGCTGCAACGCTTTGAAAATAAGCTTTCAAATAAGGCACAGTATCCTTTTTTCCCCCTGGGTATTAGAAATTGTTGTGATATTCTTTGAGAGTTCTGCTACTAAGTTTTATCTAATAAGTAATAAATGATTTCCAGTGATGTCACTAACACAAATAGAATAGAACAGAACTAGGCAAGTATTTGCCTCTTCTGGAGGAGTCACTTGAATAAATATTCCAGTTATGTTCAGGGGACGGTGATAGTCCAAATAATGAATGAGTTGAGTTCTTGGAGGAAATAAAGATGTTCATTCCTTCTCTGCCCTCAGTGAGGGCTTGTTTTAGCACAGTTTACTTGAGTTGAGAATATAGCTTCTTTTTTTTTAATTTTTTTAATGTTTATTTATTTTTGAGAGATAGCATGAATGGGAGAGGAGTAGAGAGAGACGGAGACACAGAATCTGAAGCAGGCTCCAGGCTCTGAGTTGTCAGCACAGAGGCTGAAGCAGGGCTTAAACCCACGGACTGTGAGATCATGACCTGAGTTGAAGCCAGACACTCAACCAACTTACTTCTGAGTATTGTTCATATAATGAATTAATGAATGTGTTTTTTAAAATGCTACTATACGGAGTTCTCAATAAGCCATAAAAAAGAAACATATATCATCATATGATGTTATTTAACACACAGGGATTAATTGTTGGAACCATAAATTAATGAAAGGTAGGAAGTTCTCATTCCTTTGTTTGAAAAGCTGCTGACCTTATGTCAGAGTTCATTCATATGTAAGATTGACTAATGTTTAAATTCTTTCCCCAAGAAGAATAATATAGAAGTTCAATAAATGTTTGATAATGTGATTTTAGTACTTGATCATTTTCATATATTTTTTTTGCCTATAGTTATGTTTTACTGAATTCTACCAAATTGTCTTTTATTATCGATTTTTAAATGCCATTTGCACTTTGAGAATAGTGACTCTTCATATGTTTTTCAGGTTTTCTCCAGTTTGTCTTCTCTCTTCATACTCTGCTCTTGTGATACTTTCCTTTTCTGTGTGGAAGTGGTTTTTTTCCTCCTAGATAAATTTGTCAGTCCTCCTTTCTCTATTCCCCTCTTCCTCCATAGTCCTTTTCTACTAGACAGTTCTAAAACTACTTAACTGTAATTTCCTCTAGTTTTTTCCTTTCTTTTCTTCCAACGTTTATATGTTTGACCCATCAGGAACAATTTCGTTCTAAGGGGTGAAGGAGAGCCCTAGCTAGGTTTGTTCTTTTTCAAGTGGCTGGACAGTTTCCCAAAGCTGTTTATTACAGACTCTTGTCCTTTATTTGCAGGTTTGAAATGCCTTGATTGTCATAAACTAAATTTCCAAGTAACCATGGGTTTTGTTTTCTGTTCCAGTGATTGTTTTTTTCCTCCTATTCCTTGTTCACTACTACCCTGTTTTTGATGACTCTTACTTTTCACTGCATTTTATAATCTTCATTGCTTGTTTTCTGTTTACATAATATATTTTTCAGGAGACCTTAAATCATTTCTATCGAAGAGAAAAATGCTTGTGAGATTAATTTAGCATTTAATTTGGCATTTTGACAAAAGGAAGAATTTTTAAAATTCAGGTCTTCAGGAAAGTATTATAACTTGCCACATAATTCATATTTATGATATTTCTTACTGTTATGAATGACATTTTCCCCCACTTACACTTTCTAGTTAGTTACTGTTGATACTTACGCAAGCCATTGATTTTACTGGACTTATTTATTTTTTCTCTGGCAGACAGTTTTTCATACTTTTTGTGATAAAATTGTTATTTTTAGTGCTCTTTGAAACGTTGAACTTGCCAGCTTCCTGTTTTGTTTATATTTGTGTGGCATATAACAAATGGGTAGAGCTACTATACTTGGGCCTATCGTTTTGCTTTAATCCCTTCTGAAACTTCATTGGTTTTTAGATGTTTCTCTTAATTATATTGAGTTTTATTTTATAAACCCTAGATTATCTAAATCTTTTCTCCTTTTAATAGATGAGTCTATCACTATTATTGTTGAGTAAGATGTTTGATCTTCTAATGTGGTTTTTGTTTTTTAATGTTTTTTGAAGCTTTAAAAATATTATGGCTGGAGGTCTCTTTTATTTTTACTGCTGATAATTTGAAAGGTACAAAGTCTAGTTTTAACAGAGGATGGCTGGGGCACCTGGGTGGTTCAGTCAGTTAATCATCTGATTTCAGCTCAAGTCATGCATGATCTCATG